CAAGACCACCATCCTCTACAAGCTGAAGCTGGGTGAGATCGTCACCACCATCCCCACCATCGGTGAGTGCCCCGGCACCGGGCAGGGCCCCGTCGAGCAGCGGGTACCGGGCAGGGCCCCCACCCTGCCTCCCCCAGCCGGCACCGGGCAGGGCTGCATCCCGGCCCACCCGGGTACCGCTTCCCGAGCCCCGGTGCCCCGTGTGCCCAGCTGTTACCCTCCCGCTGTCCCCCGTCCGTCGGGGTGCTGGGGCACGGCCGCGGGGGGTGCCCGGCGGGGAGCCTGGCTCGCGCCCCAAAATGCCCCTTGCGGTCCCCGGCACGGGCACCGGCACAGATTCACGGGTGCGAAGCCGAATTTCCCGCCCTGGTTGGCTGCCCTCCGCCTGCCCCGCGGTGGCAAACGTGGAGCCGGAGCCGTTACGCTGGTGCGGTCTGGCTCCGGTCCGGGGGTGGAAAGGTGCTTTCGTGGGCAGGAGATCACGCCGCCCGTGCAGGCAGGCTGCTGTCCTGCCAGATCCTGGGTGCAAAGCCTTCAGTGGGTGCTCAGCACCATCGCCTGTAGCATTGTCAGGCGCTGGCCCAGGCTGCCCAGGGCAGGGGCTGAGTCCCCATCCCTGGAGGGATTTCAAAGCCGGGGGGATGTGGCGCTTAGGGACGTGGTTTGGTGGTGGCCTTGGCAGTGCTGGGTTAACGGTTGGACTCGATGATCTTAGAGGTCTCTTCCAACCTAAACGATTCTGTGATTCTATGATTCTGTCTCCCACAAGCCGATGGAGGTGGATTGGGAATGGGCTGCAGGCTCAGGGAGGCTGGTCGCCGTGGTGTGACCGCGCCGGCCAGCGCTGCTGAACATCTTCACTGGTGACCTGGGTGATGGGAGGGAGCACCCTCAGCAAGCTGGTGGCCAGGCCCGAGCTAGGGGTGGTTGTGCACCGGAGGGTGGTGCTGCTGTCCGGGGGGGTCTGGGCAGGCTGGAGAAATGAGGAGAGGAACCTCCTGGAGTTCAACTGGGGGAAGGCCAAGTCCTGCCCTTGGAGAGGAACAACCCCAGGCACGGGTGCCTGTGGGAGAGCAGCTCTGGGGAGAAGGTCCCGGCAGTCCTGGTGGGAAGCAACCTGAGCAAGCACCGGGCACGTGCCCCTGTGGCTCGGGGCCACCAGCCCCTGGGCTGCACTGGGCAGAGCTGAAAGTGGGTCGGGAGAGGAGCTCCTGCCCCTCTGCTGAGACACCTCGGGGTGCTGGGTCCGGCGCTGGGCTCCCCGGCGCAGGAGAGACAGGGACGTAATGGCGTAAGTCCAGTGCAGGGCCACGGTGATGATGAAGGGAGCGTCTCTCATCGGAGGAGAGGCTGGGAGAGCTGGGGCTGCTCAGCCTGGAGAAGAGATGGCTCGGGGGGATCTCATCCATGGGCGTGAATCCCTCATGGCGGAGTAAGGAAGATGGAGCCAGGCTCTTCTCAACGGTACCCAGAGGCAGTGGGCTCCCTCTCCCCACGCCCCTCCTTTTCCCCCGCAGGGTTCAACGTGGAGACGGTGGAGTACAAGAACATTTGCTTCACCGTCTGGGACGTGGGCGGCCAGGACAAGATCCGACCCCTCTGGCGGCACTACTTCCAGAACACCCAGGTAGCTGGAGGGTGGACGTGGGCATCACCAGCTGCGGTGGGGCTGGCCCGGGGCTCCCCGGGGCTTGCGGCCCGATCCTGCCTGAGCGGGGCGTGTGAGGGGCGGCAGGGAATGCATCCCAGTCCCCGGGGCGGTGGCCCAGCTGGGAGCACCGGGACCTGGCGTGGGTGTTTGCCCCATCGTCCCATCGGAGGGGAGCGAGGCAGAGGGGTCCGGAGGAGCAGGCGAGGGGGCAGTGCTCTGGCCCTCGGTCGCGGGGTGCCTGCAGCCCGCCTGGGATACCCCCCTCTCCTCCGTGCAAGCTGCCCGCTGCAGCCTGGTTTCTGCCACAGGGTCTCATCTTCGTGGTGGACAGCAATGACCGAGAGCGAGTGCAGGAGTCTGCCGACGAGCTGCAGAAGATGGTGAGTGATGGGGGGGATTCGGTCTGGCAGGGAGGCGGGCGTCCCCCAGCCCTCCTCCCGCTCGCCCGGCTCTGTAGCAGCGCCTGGGTGGGTGCGAGATGAGACCCGGGTCTGCTCTGCCCGTGACGCGGAGCCAGGGGGCATCCGTCCGGAGACGGGCTTGGGGACCCGACAGTGACTCGTCTGCCAGGCCGAGCTGGACCTGCAGGGATCAGGAGCAATTGCAAGGGGGAAAAATGGCCAAGAAAAATGGCTTTACTCAGTCAGGGCTTTGCTAGCCGAGCACTGTGGGCACACGGGGAGGGGAGGCAGTGTCCAGAGACAACATCCCAAAGCCAACTGGGAGGTGGGGGTCATTTACTCCCCGGCACGGGTGCCTGGGGGGGCAGAGCGTCCTTGGGGAGGGAAGCTGGCGCAGAGCGGAGCGTGTCGCGGCCTGAGAGCGGGGAGGAGGGATGGGCAGGTGCCCGCTGCCTGCTTGCTGTCGTTCGGAGAGCGCCGTGCCCACCCTCTTGCGCTGCCTCCACGGCGGTCGCTGCGCCCCCCTCCCCTGCGGCCCCATGCTCCAACGCAGGCGTCCCCCCTGCGAAGGGCACGGGTGCTCCTGGGAGAGCGTCCTGGTGCCACCGAGACCTCTGGGCAACGATGGGGGCAGGAGGGCAGCGAAGATACTGGAGGTGAGCGGAGGAGCTGGAGAGCCACCCTGGCTCTTTGGGTCTGTCCAAGCCAGGTCTCGCTTGCCGGGGTGCCGGCGCTGCCAAGGCTCACCGAGGGCTCACCGAGAGCCGCCCTCCGGCAGCGCCCGGCTCAGCCGTCCCCGCTCTCTCCGCAGCTGCAGGAGGACGAGCTGCGGGATGCCGTCTTGCTGGTGTTTGCCAACAAGCAGGACATGCCCAACGCCATGGCGGTGAGCGAGCTGACCGACAAGCTGGGGCTGCAGACGCTGCGCAGCAGGACCGTGAGTGGCCGGGGAGCCGTCCCCGTCCCTGCGGGAGGGACCTGTGGGGCTGCGGGGCCGCTCCTGGGGAGCCGCGGGCTGGTGATCTGCAGAGCCCGAAGCCCTTTTCTCCATCTCCTTCTGTTTTGCAGTGGTACGTGCAGGCAACGTGTGCGACCCAGGGCACGGGGCTCTACGACGGGCTGGACTGGCTATCGCACGAGCTCTCCAAGCGCTAGCTGGGCTGGCAGCACGGGACTGGATGAGCCGGGGACGTCTCCTCCAACTGCTGTTTTGTTCGGTTTTCTTTGTTTTATTTGGGGGGGGGGTGTCCTTTCTCCCCCGAGTGGCCTCGTCTCTGTGTTTATCCGGTAGGACTTGAACCTCAAGGACTCTTCGTGCAGCTCCACTTTGCGGTGTCCTGCCTTCGCCCCGGCAGCGCTGCGTGCTGGCCGTCATCCTCACCTGCATGTGCCGTCTGCGAGAGCTTGCCTGGACCTGCTGGGGTGGCATGTCCCCAAGCGTCCCCGCTCCTCGCCCGGAGCCGGTGGTGGGGGCTGAGCTTGGCTGGGAGGCAGCCCTGCCGCGACGGGACAGGAAGGATCCTCCTTTTTATCCTTCGATAAACTTTATAGTTCTCTTTCTCTCGGGGAGGGGACATACGGCTGCGTAACGTGCTGTTGTATATCGAGTAATTAAACACCACGACTTTGTACCCTGCACATTTCTGGCTGGCTGCGGGTGCCGCCTTAGAGCCCCGCTCCCCGACGTGCATCTTCCACGAGCATCTCTGGGCACGGGGATTTGGGCCTTAATAAAACCCGGCGTGCACTGTGCTGGGACGCAGAGGAGGTGGGCAGAGGCTCCCAGATGCGTTTGCAAGCTCGTTTCCTTGTCCCCTGGTGCCAGGAGCGGGGCTGACCTGTTTTGTAGCCGCCCCGGGGTGCTGTCGGGGTCGGTGCTGCCTCCCTACCGTGCTGGCTGCCAGCCCTGGGGTGCTGGGGCCGCGCCGGGGGGAAGCCCTGCGGGGTCGGCTCAGGCCACGTGCTGCAGGAGTGCTAACTGGGTTGTAATTAGTGGGACTGGGCAAAGCCAAACCCAACGGCGGCCGCGCTCTGGCAGCGAGGGGCCGAGCCACGGGCACTGGGAGAAGGGGGAGCAGACCGGTCCTGGGCGCTGCCTCCAAAAAGCCCAAGGCTGGCGGGAGGTGGGAGGCACGGAGCGTCGGGGCGCCCGGCAGCAGCAGGGCCACGCGTGGCGGGGCTGAGGGCCCCTCTCCCAGCAAGGCACACCTGCGTGCCCCGCAGAAACGTGCTCCCTGCACGGAGCTGAGCCCTGCGCTGGCTGTCCCCAGGCTGTCCCTGTGGGGATGCCCTGGCTGTCCCCCAGGCTGTCCCTGTAGGGATGCCCCAGCTGTCCCCAGGCTGTCCCTGTAGGGATGCCCCGGCTGTCCCCAAGGCTGTCCCTGTGGGGATGCCCTGGCTGTCCCCCTGCAATGGCTCAGTTGGGTGCTCAGTGCTCCAGCACCCACCCTGCTGGGGGGCTCCCACCCAGCGCAGGGGTGCCTGGCCAGGGAGCGAGGGGGCAGCGGGGGCCGGGGCAGAGCGATGGGAGCTGGGTCTTTCTGCAGCCTGGGGAGTCAAGGGGCGGGGGGACCCAGAGCCACCCCTGTCGGTGGCAGACTTGGGGCTGGCCCCCCGCACGCCTCGTCCCTCGGGGCAGCTGGGGGTGGCTGGAGCCCGGGGGCAGAGCTCGCAGCTTCCCAGGGCTCAGCACTGCTGCCCCAGAGCCCCGACTCTGCCACGGGAGCTAGGGTGTTGCCTTTGGTGGAGAAAAGTGGGGGGGACAGGATGGGACGGGGGGGTTCGCCGGTGCTTTGGTGCAAGGTTTCCCCAGAGCACTTGGCTCTGGGGTGCAGCACCGTGGTCTGGATGGGTGCTGGCTTCGAGCCAGGGTTGCTCCCGGTGCAGAGGCGTGGGAGCGGGGCCACGGGCAGAGCGCGGGGAGCCCAGGTTGGACAAGAGGCAGCTGCACCCGAGGTGGCCCCGTGATGGAAGGTGGGGGTTAAGCCATGGCCTTTCCATCCCACCCGATGTGGGGCACCAGGCCTGATTTACGGCACAGCTAGAGAGTCCTCGGGGACTGAGAAAGGGCTGGGAGAAGCCGTATCCCAGCTGGTGGTGCATCAGCCGCTGGGCTGCTCAGCTGAAAAACAGCCTCCCCACGATCGGGGCAGCCTCGAGCCTCAAAAGCCCCTTTGCAACAGAGGACAGGGTGATGCCGGTGCCTTCGCTGGCCACCACGGCTCCTGGGGGACAGTTAATCCCTGCAAGGTGGGCGATGTTTCACGGCGATGTTGGATCACCCGTGCCCATCGGCTCCCGGTGCCAGGCTCCCTGCCCTGGGTCACGGATGGTCCTGCCGGCGCTGGGGAGAGCTGTGCCCCCCGTCTCCCTGGGGACAGCCCAGAGCAGCAGCCCGGGGGGGCTCAGCTCTCCGTCTACCATGCAGAACCCCCTGCGCCCGGCAGTGTGGTGCGCTGCGGGCTGGAGCCCTGCTCGCCCCGCTCTCAGAGAGCCGGGGAGCAAAAGGACATCCACTCGCTGCGAATAATTTAACGCCCCATTTAGCACCAGTTCCTCCAGCCTGGCCTGGCCATCACCCTCAGGCTGAGATGAAGTGCCCTGAAAATGCCCGCTGTGAGGCCGCGGGGCGTCCCTTTGGCACCGACCGCTGCCACTTCCAAGCCAGCAGCCTGGGAGCGCGCGTGCTGTGATGCATTTTGCAGCCCCACCGGTTTGCTGCCCGCTCTGCCCTGGCTGCTTCCAGCCCTGCAGGTTCCCCACAGCCCTGGCCACTGGCGGGTGCCCGGCTGTGCCGGAGTCCCCTCTCCTCCGGTGGTGCGGCCAGGACACGTCCCCTTGGCCATGCTGAGGTCCCCGGTTTGCTCAGCGCCGTTGGTGCTGCCGGAGCCCGGAGGCAGGAGAGCAGGCAGGAGAGCCTGCTGCCCACCTGCTCCTGCAGGAGGGGTTTGCAAAACTTGCCTGTGCCCAGGGCATGGCACAGTCACAGCAAAGCACAGGGGGGAGCGAACGCCCCTGCTGCACCCCGAGCCGGGGAAGGAGCCCCCCACCACGCCGGGGCTGCCGGCGCGGGCTCTCTGTGGGACTGCGCCTTTGTACGAACTGCCAAAGGACTGGGGGGGGTCCTGCCTTGCACCCCCTCCCCGCAGCCAGGCACCCCGAGGGCTGGCTCCCCGCAGGCTCCCAGCGCCCCGCAGCATTTCAGGTGCCCAGCCGGCCCCTGCGGACAAGGTCCTACACCACGCGAACGGGCACATTGGCAACAGCGTCCCACGCCGGCCACCGGCCCCTGCTGAGGTCTCTTCTAGTGGGTCCAGCAATTTGTTTTAAATGTTCTTGAAGGGCTGGGTATGAATTGTGGCTCTGCTGCCGAGCGGTGCCGCAGGGCCTGGGTGCCGGTGCCCGCGGCAGCCGGCCTCCTGCAGCCCCTGAAAAATACACCCGAATCTGGCTGAGTCGCTCCACATTTCTGGAAGGAAAAGGCTCCTTCGGAGCTGCTGTGGAGCGTTTGGGGGTCCCAGACTCGAGTGGGAGTTTCGCAGCCTCACACCGCCCAGCCGCGGCAGGGAGCGGCTGCAGATTTGGGTATTGCCAGGGCACGGCGGTGGCTGCTGTGCGCAGTCCCGCTCTGCCGCCCTGCAGCAGTGCCACCCGTCCTGTCCCCATCCCTGTCTCTGGGGCTGAACATGGTTGAAATCCCACTGCCGTGGGCTCCGTGCGTGTCGTGGCGCTGCCTGGGGCCGTGCCGGCTGTTTGCAGCCCGCGGCATGGCACAGGCTGCGGCGCACGGGCAGAGGGAGCCGCTCGGCGGAGCTGCAGCCGGAGGGTGCCGGGGGCTCGGGGTGGCCCAGGGCATCCTTGCTCGCCTCCATTGTATGAGTCTGCCCAGACGTCGGAGATGTCCCCTTTCCCGAAGGCTTTCCCCATAAGCTGGGCAGTCATGCATGCCATGAGTTTGGCAGGCCTCAGCCCACCTCTCCGTGGATGCTGCCGCAGCTCAGCCGGGTGGCCAGGACAGACAGACGGCCAAGACGGGGCTGGGGCTGGTGCAGCCGCTGCATCGTGGGTGCAGGCGAGCAAAAGCCTTTGGTAGCGTCCTCAGAGACACCGTCAGCGTCCCCCAGGACTGAACAACTGGGGTAACACGGCTGCGTTTTTCACGTAGAAAACCCCATAGAACGCTTTTCTCTTATAGAAATGATTTTTTCTTGCTCAAAAAGACACAAATTAAGCTGGAGCCCGACGTTGCCCTGGGGGACTGAGGGCCCCCCCAGGCTGCCCTCAGAGCGGTCTGCTGAGGCTGGGCTCCCGGCCAGGGGCCGTGGGGACGGGGACCGCCGCAGTGTCCCTGCCCAGGCCCTGCAAACGGGGAAAGCCCCCACCTCGGGCTGAGCCCCCCAGCTGGTTTCCTTCGGCTGAAGGAAATAATAATTTTCCTTCAAATAAAACCGTTTCTTCAGCCTGCAGCGGTGCTCCGCGCCAGCGAGGGGCACCTTTGCCCTGGCTCCACCGTTGAATTCCATTGCTAAACAAACAGAAACCCAAAACTTTTTATTTAGTTCAAGGATCTGCCACGCAGCTGGGGCCTGGCGGCTCCGCAGGGTCACGGTGGAAGGACCAGCGTGGGATCGGGGATGGCTGGAGCTGGTCCCGGCTGTGCCACGCGGTCCTGCCCGCCGACCTCCCGTCTCCGCACCAGGATGTGCTGAAGCGATACCGCGGCTCGGGGGCTCGCCAGCAGCTATGGGCAATCGCCAAGGGGGCACAGCAGCCACAGTGAGGTTTTGTTCCTGCTTAGCCCAGGAGACTCCCCGGCTTTCCGGCTAGGAGAACTCCCTCCGGGCTAGAGGTTTCTCCAGAGGTGCCGGGAAAAGTCCCCATTTAACAGCGGGGTGTCCCCTGTTTCCAACAGCCCCCACCCAGGCGCTGGTGATCCACGGTGCCGTGGCAGGGATGCGGCGTGAGCCTGGCAGGCAGGAGAAGGGGTCCCCGGCCGGGCTGCGGCCCCGGCACCCGGAGCAGAGGTGCTCGCAGCAGTGACGCACCGCATGTCGGCAGCGGGGAGCGGGAGGCTCTGCAGGGAAGAGGGGCTCGGGGACGCGCCAGCTGGCTGCCTTGGTGGGCCGGGCAGCGTCTGCTTGCGGCCGAGCCCCGGCTCTGCTCACCAACGCTGCCCCAACGCCTGCACCGCTGCCCGTTGCGATGGTGTCATGCATCGGCGCTCGCGCAGGGTGGATGGGAGCGCGGGCACTGACTACCGCTCCTCGCACGCGGTTGATGAACGTTTCCCAGGGTAATGTGCCGGTGTTGTGAACAGGAGTGGGGAATCCTGACGTGGACGGAGGGATGCTCATTGGGGGACGCAGCAGCAGAGCGTGGCAGTGATGCTGCCCACCCTTCTGCTGCATCCCAGGGGCTGGGACAGGGCCACAGCACTGGGGATGGTGACAAACACTCCAGCATGACGAGGGGCTCCCCGAGGACGTGGTTGCGGTCCTGGTCCCCACAAGCCACCCAAGGCAGCTGAGGAAGAGGCTGGTGGCCTGGCAAAGCCCTCATGAAGCTTTCCTGCCTTGGGGTGGCAAAACTCCCGCTGGGATGGTGCAGGCAGGCGTCACCCCACTGTGGGAGGTGGTTTGGGGTGCTGCCAGGGGCTGTCCTGGCCATGCTGTGCCCCCGCCGGGCTGGAAACGCCGGCTGGGATCAGAGGGGTCTGGGGTGGAGGAGAGGGGAGGGGGCTGCAGGGGCCG